ACCGTGTGTTCCGTCAATAAAACAAAAGGTGCGCCTCCCTCCAGGGCCGCGCCTTTTGTTTAATGCACGCGTGTATTTACTAATTAGCTACAGCACATTTAGCTCGCCTCGCGCGAATCATAACACGCGAGCAACGCGTTTTTTCGTTACTCGTCTTCGGAACGAATATGATTAGCGCATTAATTAGCACGATAATACGTTGCCCTCGTGTGTACGCTCGATATTTTATCATAATATGCAGACCGAGGCGTTTAACACATTTTTGCAATCTGCGTTGCAGCGAATGGGCAAACTAGATTGTTGCTCGCGAATTCGGAATACGCCGATTCTTCGCGTAATTTAGATTAGGCTGATTACGATAAGATGTATTAAAAAGAGCGTATATTTACAGGATACGAGAACGCCGATTGGTTCATTCCGTCACCTGCGCTCAAATCGGAGGACGTCGATTTGAAATTATCGCCGGATCAGATCCGGGAGACTCTTAACTACTTCAGTAAGTGCAAGTTCCAATTTTATTTATATTGATGTTTGTGGAGTTTTTTTTTCTGTAGATGGTATAAATGTTATGAATATGTAAGTCGAAGAAATAATTCAAAGCAGAGAGGCCGGAAATGCGCGATTATTTTATCGTGTATGAATTAAGAGCAATTTTTTCAACGCTTTAATAAAAGATCGAATATTTCTCTCTGTATGCATTTTCGACGCAAAAATGCAATTTCTGTTTTTATTACTAAAATAATATTTTCGTAATTGCGTAATTATTCGTAATTTCACGCACTTACGCAATTACAATCTAATTACACTGCATTATCATAGTAATTAAGACGTAATAGGGTAGAAATTGAAGAGATACTGTAACGTGAAAAACGGAAATGAAGGAAGTAGAATCCATCAATCATATACGGCAAATCGCATATTAATGCAATAAGCTTCCTAATCCAAAACCATCGACCCACGCAGGACAATAGCAATCGCTGTTTGTTCGCGCGAGTGCAATTCCACGATGCGTGGAAAATGCACAACGTAGAAACTGCACAATGCAGAAACACGAAGAGAGACGTGCATCCTGCTAAACGGGATGGGAAAATGAAGAATTATCATCGGGTGGATGTGCATTTCCAGGTGTTGAATCGCGCCTCGATTATTACAACTCGCGGAAACCGACTTCGCGGACTTTTCTCGCCTTCGTAAACAAGAGAAAGAGAGAGAGAGAGAGAACAGTTTGACATAATTTTCCCGCACGAGTGAGAAACAATTCGCTACGCGATACGGGTGCAAGTGTCGCGACGAGATATCTCGCGTGTCACTGATTACCACTGTCTCTCTATATTCCTGAAACACATGTAGAAATAATGTCGCGATTTTATTTTCATTTACATGCTCTAGATACCACGTGGAGAAGTAACATCTGATTATCGAACGATCGCATTGTACGCTATAAAATCACGTTTAATGGGGAAATTTGCATTTGTATGCTTTATTTTTTTCCGCGACAAGAATTGTTGGGGATTCTCGGAATATTCATCATTTCAATATTTAATATATTCTATTTCTCGCATATATAATGCGTAAGTATTCTATTTAAATATCTTACATGCATGAAGAATTAAATACTAATTTTATTCATAATTATGTATTCATAAATATGTAATGTTACGCGAAATTCACGCAAACAAGTTTATTTTTAAAATGACTTAATTTTGATCAAAGCTGATATTCTCCTTGGCAGTTTAAGGGAGATAAATCATTTTGCGACCTTTCAGCTTCTTCACGGAACATCTCGTTCCGCGGAAAGAGTCGATATTTATGCAGCCAGGTCAGACGTTCTTAAGACTATCGACGAATACGGTAGAGAACGGTAATCTAAGATGTACCAGTCTATTTAGTAATTGGTACGCGAAAGTATCTCCCTTTCTCCCTATCTCTATCATTCATTATTGTGCCTTTCGTCCGTCTCGTTTCTTCTCACACTATATGTCTATTTATTAAAATTTATCGATATAACGAAATATATATATTTTTCTTTTATAATTAAAATTATAAAATCATGATAAAAATGGATTAATAATATATGTAAAAAAAGGTGATATGATTTATGCAAATTATATTCATTTCTTATGTAATCTTAATGAAATTTCTTAAGAATAATTGCGATTATATATTTCATTGTATACAATTGCGATTATATATTTCATTGTATACAATGATTTATAATAAACGTGCATTTAATGATGCGGTTTACTTTGAGAAAGCAGTATTCAACAGCAATAATAATAGGAAGAATGTGAAAAAAACGCAATAAAAATAGAGACACGCCCGATATCGATTAGATTCATCCTATAGGGAGTGTCTAGATTGATTGTTACCATCAACAAATATTTCGCATACATATTTTCTCTCTCTTTTTCACGAAGTTATTTGCAAAAATAATCATCTATCCATTCATGCGTCCTTTATGGCGAATTTATTCGCGCGTCTCTCTATCGAATGATAATTAAAACTTCTTGTTCCGCCTCTCTCTTAGTCTCCCACATTGGATTTAGTTATAATATCATCGGAGGCCACCCCATTTACACAACTAATCATCGTTTTCCGTGTTATTAGAAGATAATAATGGGAATCCTCTCACAGTTATGGGGTGGAAGAACGGGCGAAATTTCATTGTTAGCGCGACACATGTGACGCATCCTCTAATCGTTCCACTTTTCTTATTCTATTTTGCATATACGTCGCCTTTTCCTCGACCACGGCATAAAATGGTGAAATTTTACCAGACAGAAGAGGAGAATGATACGACAATTTCTTCTCTGTTTCTCGTTCTTTTTCGGTTCTCACGGCAATTCCTTCATTCTTGCCTTCTGTGACGTCGCCCGTGATTTCTCCATTCAACCTTTCGTCGCATCCGATGTAGAAAGTTGTTTGCAGGTTTGTCGTTTAATTGCAATATCAGTTGTTATCCCTCCTTCCCTTCCCTGTCTACTTCTCCGATCGATTGGACAGGCCGCTTTTCTCATCGGTTGAAGAAACAAGGAAATCAAACATTTCTAAATATTGCGACATTAAACATAGAAAATATTAATGCGTTTGTTAAGTAGTTAATGATTTTATTTGATTACCTGTCATTTAATAATCAAACCATGAAGATATCTCGGTTTTTACCGCAGTATTTCTTTTCCGGTAATAAAGGAAAAATCAGCCTCGAGTTCTTTAATGATAGGAATGCTAGATTTCTACTATATTAAATGAGAAATGTTATTTATATTAGAGAGTAGAGATAAGATGTACAATGAGCTATTTAATATAATTACTTAGAAGATGTCACTTCCGACGTTATTCCTCCAATCTCTTATTAAGAAGATTAATGTGCTTTATTTAAAGATTGTTATAATTGTATATAAATAATTGATCATATTTTCATGTTTCCTAAAAATCAAATATTATAAAAATTATTAATTGTATTGTATGCAATTAATAATTTGGAATTATTCCAAATTATTTAATTCGGAAATATTGCAAGCTGTTTATACAAATATCGTCACATGTGATAAGATTTATCGTTTTAAAATCTGTCGTATAATATTTAGATAAGAAATAAAATATAAAGTATTATTTTTTGTTAGATAATATTTATATAATATTATATAATATTTTAATATAATATTTGTATTTAAATTTAATATTTAATATTTATATAATAATATTTATATTTAATAATTTATATAATTTAATATTTATATTTAATAAATATATTTTTTATTTATTAATAAAATATATTATTTATATATTTATTAATAAATAATATATATACATATATATTAAAATATATATATTAATAGAGATATTAATAAATAAAAATGTATCTTTTTTTAGTAAGTGAGAATCGCAGATGCCATTTGCACTTTAAGGATCACAATTTTCCGTTAGGTTGTTCAGCAAAGAGCAATGCTTTCTCAAGCAATATCTTTCAAGCGCACTTACAGTATTCTAAAAGATCATGTCCTGAAAATGTCGGATACCCCTGCGCCCACCTGCACTTAATATTTTTTATCATCAATAGTCGAACAATGGAATTTCTTTTGCCAGTCACGATTGTTTTACTCAGAAAGGATTATCGCTTATCGCAAAATATATATCAATTTTGACTCATTGTCAAACATTTTACATAGTACAATTGCGCATTTAAAAATAATTACGTAACATATAATCATTATTATCATACCTGCTGAAAAAAAAATATCGATCAGAAAATCAGATATATATAAAATATATATATGTAAATATAAAAATATATATATAAATGTAAATAAAACAAATAATATGTACGTATATTAATATTTTTAATAATATATAAATATTGAGGAAATTCTCCGAGAGAAAAAGAGAAAGAGAGAGAATATTGTTGTTGCTTGAAATATGTTATAATTAAAAACGATATACCTAAATCATCATACACATTGCAACGACACGATACGACACAAACCTTGATCTAATTTTCCTCATGCGATATCACATGTCGTTGTCTCGCCGCATTGCGTACATATCTATGCGCATCTTTTCCCACAATTTCGCAATTTTACGATTTTAATCAAAATCAAAATAAATTTTTTTAATCATAATCAAAATGAATATCTAATTTTGTAGATCTTACACATTTTCGATTTATCAAAAGTTTCAACGAGCATTGATCTTTACGTATGTTTACGATTTTAATTCTGGATTTAAAAAAATATATATATATTTAGCTTCAGATGATTATTGATATCGAGCACGTACGTGCTCTGATAATATTGTTCTCATCTTATCACCGTCAGTTTGCTTCACCAGAGGGGTCGCGATCAACTCGCTTTAATCAAGCTCTCCTCGCTCGTGCTATCCACCTCGCACGTTCAACGCACTCGACGGACGGACAGGAGCGGCCTCGGCCAATCACGTGGCGCGACACTTGAAAACGAACGCTTGCCGGCCGCTTCACGTCAGTTGCGACAGCCGCGCGTGGCTCAGTCACGCTCGTGCAGCCGCGACGCTTGCCTCGTGCGTTTGGCGCGCTCGCGTCGTCGACACGTTCACGTCCGATTTTTCGCCGGTGAGGTTAAGTGCGCGAGGCGACCACGTTCCCCGGATTACTTGCGCCGAGAGACGCTTGACGCAGCGACGAGAGCACTCGTCGGTCCATAGTTGCGTCGAGCATGCGCGACAGAAGCCGTTCTCTGGTAGTCGCCGCCCGTATCCGGATTCTGCAAGATCCTCCGAGAGTCCCGCTCATCCGCGCGTAACGGAGGGAGGTTCCTTCGAGGCGCGAGATGCGTCACGACTCGATCGCGTTATCGCGTTATCATCTACGCTCGAGCATCGTTATCGTTGACCTACCCTCGGCGGACGAGCGGAAGCTGAGTCGTCGAGAATCCCGAGGCCCGGCTCGAGCTCGACGATCCGGTGCGTTGCCTAGGTTAAGTCGCTCTCCGGGAGAAGGAAATTGGCCGCGAACGGATCTCGAATCCGCTCCTTTCCATCGTCGTAGGTACACGTGCCTCCAAGAATTGTCACTTTCATCGGGAGCTTCGTGCCACGTGCTCGTGATTTTTCGAGAGAATGAAATGTGAAGGAGTGCCACGAGGTGTGGTGACGAAGAATTGGAGTAACGATCGTTTACGAGCGAGCATCGAAAAATTATCGCCGAGAGCGACTGGTGAAAGTCTCGCACTCCTTTTTCATTCGTCCAAATTTTATTCATTATAATCCCATCGGCGAAGAGGGGAAAGGGTTGGTGAGTTTTTACCAAGGAATAGAGCCAACTTTGCTATAAACTGCTTCTAAATTATCATTATGCTTCATTTTTATAATTATTTTATATTTTGTAGAGAGTACATTATTTTTTTATTATTCCCTTCATTTCTAAAAAAATCGACTGTTGTCTTTATTTTCCACGCAAAATTCAAGGCGCGTTTATCTCCGCGTGCATCACGACTCTCGTAAGGGTTGAGTCTCGCCGATTGCAGGGGATAATGACCTTCGCTCTCAAAATATGAGAGAAACAGACGACGACGACGACGACGATCTTTCACTCGGACCCGCGTTGCGCTTTTCCATGAAATTCTATTTCCGTCCTTCTCGCGAGACGTCACGAAAGTGCGGCCTTGAAATTCTCGCAGGGGATGACCTAACCCTACCTGACCCAACCCTTGGATAATTTATTCCTTCAGAGAACACGTTACCTCAGATTTCACGCGAGGACTCGGAGACGCAATTCTCGACTCTTTCTTTTTCCTTTCTAGACCGCACGGTTATTAATGAAACGCGATTGATTCCGCTGCCGCTAGATGTTAGATAGCATTCCTCTCGCATCAGCGATCACGGCTAAAAGTTAAGCATTGTTACCGTTACGCAAAGAGTTCGCTGCTCCTGCCGGCCGCAATGCGTAATTAACGTTGCACACGTCGATATCGCTCGTATCCTGGCACCGATCGATCGAAATTCCTCCGATCCTAATTGATTCTTAGCATTTCTGATTCCCGCAATTTCTATTTGACACATATAAAAGTGGATACTGCCAAATAACGTATTTTTATATTCTCTATTTATCTTTTTTAAATTTTATTTAATTCATTATTCATTTTATTTTATTAATTCGAGATAAACTATGAATTTGCTACCGAGTATTTAAATGTCAAACGATTTTATCGATTGATAAGAGCAATTGATAATCTGAAAAAATCTTGGATAAAATATCAATAGTATTATCAAGTAGTTGTTTTTTTCAATATTACTCTTCAATGTTACGTGTACGTTAAACACGTTAGTTGACTATGCTAACAATCGTCAACCGAAGGAGCTGCGTGTATATTTTACATTTCCATTAGTATTGCTGTCACGTGTAAGGGGAAAAGCCGTTGTTACGAGTTAACGATGCGTATGGCAATCAAAAAATCCTCGTTATAATACAATCAAATATTGTATCTCTCTCGAAACTATATGAATTTGTATATAAATATTCATAATAGTTTCTTCTGCATTTATTTCGTAGCAATTATCTCTCAAACATACTGTTAGAGAAAGTGAAAAAATGTAAATAGCTTTGTGTACAATCATTTTCTATCTCATTGTACTTATACGGTGCTCTTATCGGGAAATTTTTTTCTATGTATCGCTGTTTGATATCAGTTTAGCGCCTGTCTCGATTACGCAGTTTAATCACGATGAAATGTTTTCGTCGCGCGATATTTCATTCGTAACTTTCGCATTGTTTATTCTTAAATTCATTTTCCAAGATAGAAATCATTATCACTGGCAATTTCGTCGTTCATGATCCGTGATCTCTATCTTGACACGAGTTTTATACACGATAAACAAACATATATTACGCAATGCGCGATACGATAATAGTCATCAATTGTTTTTTTTTTGTCTCCAGAAGAATCTATTATAGATGTATTCGAAATAAATTTATTTTTCCAATAATGGTCGTGAAATCGACCCCCCGATTTTTCAAATAATATTTTCTTTACTTTTTAAATGACAACTCTTTCTAAAGTAGATTAGCAGATAAATACAATTATAAAAAATACAATTAGTGACTATTATTAGAATTCCAATTTGTTTTTTTTTTTTTCAAATTTTAAAAATGGGAGCCTACTTCGCGAAGGTAAAGTTCCCTCTTCCTCGTTGAACTACTTTGTCTGAGCTATTTGACACTATCTCCAAGAATACCTTGAAATTATTTTTAGGATTGTACGACGTTTATACTTTACTACGCACATCGCGAATAAATTTTCTTCGTGCATATGAATATAAAACGTATATTCGCTTGCAAGTTCATGACAGAATGACCGTTTTTTTTCGCGCGAAATTATTGTTCTCCGGCAATCATTGCGCAATGAGACGTGACGATGACGATTAACGTTAATAACGTGTATCGTTTATGATCCGTTCACCTATGTTCACCTGCGATCGCAACAGGACGCGCAAAACTTATCCGACACATTTAATCTCTAACGATTTTTTCTCTTTACTTTTTACCTTTTCATTCAAAATGTACAAGTATGTTCCAAGCTCGAGTGTAATTTTGATCAGACATCTGCCTCGAAGAGAGCGAATTTTCCCTTCGTCTTCGTACTTTCTCCGATTCGCGCTATCCTTAAATTCGCACGTGCATTCGGCAGTTTCAAAAAACGAATCCGTCGCAAAAAAAAAACTTGCTCGCCTTCGAGCGGCGAAAGCGCTCTTCGTCGAGACGATTTAGGGCGATCAATCTCTTGGGCTGAAATTATCGCAAAAGGGGATCGCTCGATACCGTCCGTTATGCTATATCCACACAGTTGAATATACACGTAGCACTTGTTTCTCTTTCGGATTATACTTTTCGAGTACATCCGCTCATCATTAATGTCCGGAATTTCATTTTGTATTTTCACGAATATCATAATAATAATATCACAATAATAATATAATAAATATTAATGAGAGATCTCTTTCATCGCGAATCGTTTTACGAGTTTTATTATTGTGGACTCTTTAAAAAAAAAATGATACTAATTGTTAAAATTATTCGTGCCAATTTTTGCATAAATAGATCGAGTATTTTTTTTAAATCTCGAAAAATGAGATTTCTAGTTTCTAAAGATTTTTTTTCCAACGGAAAATATCCAAGATATTTTACTTAACGACATAATTGCGTGCGTGTTCTTATATATGTGTATATAGAATTTTTATTTATAATATACAATGTATTAGGACAGTCGATTGTCAAAGAGATTTTTTTTTGGAACATGCATTGCGTTATTGCGTTGTTATCCGTTTTCTGGCGTCTTGAACCTCGAAACGTTGTGAAATGAATACTGATCGGTGACTCACGATCGATTTCGATGCTCCGTTTTGATAAACTTTGCTTCTTCCTACCTTTGCCACCATGTCGAGAGAACCTTTCTTTTTCACCTACTTACGTTATTTGATGCGCTTATTTTAGATTATCGTTCAATAGCACCGCAAACTGTACATTCGAATGTACAGCGTGACATAAACAATGTTTAATATACGAAATTCTCGATTTTGTTATATAATTACAATTAGATAATTGTTTTATAAAAATTTTTAATCCAGGAATGGGTAAAATTTAACCGTCTAACTCTTTCACGTAAATCAAAATAGCGGTTCATTCCTTCGCAGCCAATTTCCAAGCGACTCATGCTTGTAAACGACGATTTGCTCGTATTGCTTATCAGACCTTGAATTTCTAATCTGTGCTAAAATTATTTGTGGCTCGAATCAAGCGTTCTCAGTTTTATCGTACTAGAAATTTTAATCATTAAATATGTGACGTAAAATTTTGCGAAAAAATATTTTATTATAAAAAATATTATACGTTTTTTAAAAAGAGAATTCTTCTGAAATGACAAAATGTATATATTTCTTTTTTTTCTTTTTAGTTTTTTTTATCATGAAAATTGGAATTCCTGAATTGACTTTCCTCTTAATCTCCGGAAATGCTTGACATTCTAATAATAGATCATTGCATCATTTCCTGATTCGCGATCGAGTCAAGCAACTACCGTCCATCAGCGATAAAAGTGTAAAAAGTGCAACGACATGGACTAGTTTAATGAGGAAAATGCAACGTGACGTACATGTACAGGTTTATATGTGTATGGACTTCAAAGACTGGATAAATCTATATGTGCTATAGCAAAATTATGTTGACTTCTTGTTTTTTCCAATAAGAGACTAGTATACATGTGAAATGTTTGCAGAAAAATACGATAATAATCGAACAAGCGTAAGATAAAAGAATGTATCATCGTACGAGAAGAGACATCGAATTATAAACTTCGATAATCTTATGGAAAAAAATCAAGCTTTGGACAAAAGTGAAATATGTCTTTTTTTAAATTAGAAAACCAGATTCATATAAAAAATTAAAACAATGGATATCTCCGCGTTTTCTTTTGGATATTTACTGATACATTTGATTTGCTGACAACAATACTGGACCAACAGAACAAGATCAAGATAGCGAGAAAACGATTTTCGCAAGACAAAACTTTGAACTTGCTATTCGAAGGAGCTTTTAGTCTCCCAAAATCTCGATCGTTCATGGACAGGATCATGTGAAGGTCATGAACAGCTCGACCCCCCTTCGTGCAAACAGCGACGCATCTCCGAGCCCTCTGCATTCGCCTTTTGATCAGCATGAGGCTACCCCGTCAACCTCGAGAGGGAGAAGTATCGGTTCCATCATCACCCTCGGCGAATCAACCTTCGATAGTCTCGCATTGGACGTTTCCTACGCTGGTCTCGACGTATCCGGAAGTGATCTTGTTGATTCTGGCAGTCAACGAACGCGACTGAAAGATTCCTCGCGAGAGAATGCGTCGGATTCGCCGCAATTTTGGGAAGATATTGGAGTGGTCGACTATCTCGACAGGAAGCTGGGTCGTCCCGACGACAGCACCCCGGAAGAACGCGTCGAGACGCTCCGGGAGATCCTCGCCGAGAGGACGGACATTCACGAAGGCGATGGCAATCTCTCGGATTTCCTCTTCCACGTCGCGCGGACTAAACACGGCAAGATCTACATAAGAGTTATCCGGACCTTGCTGTTGAACAGAGGTAAACACAGATTTAAGTTGCGCCGAATCTCTATCAATTGCGTTCTTGAATGTGCGACGTAGCTCATCTTTTGTCAAAGGGTTATTGCGTATTTGAATCTGTTTTTATATACAACGAATATTTAGTAATTATCTTGTATAATAGCATTTTACAGCCAATTTATTAAGCATACAGCATTCAAGGAAAGATTGATAACAATATTATTTTTTTTATATTCCGCTATTTTTGCGGACATTTTCAAATTAAAAATATAACGCTAAACTTAATTAACGAAATGTAATTATCAAACTACATTTTCATAAAAAAATTAAATAACCAACAATACAAGTAATATAACAAAAATATAAATTTAATGAACAATCTTTAGTTTAAAAAAATGATTTCTTTCTCGCTTCTGATATTAAATTATTATTATATAAAAAAAATTAAAAATTAATTACTATTTTCTGTTATTAAAAATCGATAAAAAAATTCTACATATACTTGTATAACGCGTATATGAAATATCGCAATGTTCATCGAAAAATCGGCATTCTTTTATTATTCCTTTCATTTCTTAATCGTGAGTCTGCTGTTTTCCTATACATCGATTCAATACACGTTGCGTAGTTTCGGGAATTTCGCGATTGCATATTAGTGACGGTATCCTCGAGTTCACCCAGTATGTCGGAAATAATTACGCAAACTGTGTCGAAAACGGACGATGATGATAATGATTGTATCATCAGTCTGGAACTCCTTGCCGATCCTTGCGGCAATAATGCGCAGATCCCCTTCGATCCTAAGAGCCATGGACTCTCCGCGGATTTCCAGTTAACGAAATTCAGCGATCCGCGAAGAAAGAGCTTGCAATTGGAGCGACAGGAGAGGCAGTCGCTACTCGACCTTTTTCACGGAAAAGAGGTGATTTTCTCGATGCGGAATAGCATTGGCAGGGAGGGATTTTTGCAATGGAAATAACTGTTGCCAATCTTTATTTAGACATTTTCGTCAATTATAAACTCTTTTACATTTACAAGATTTATGTATCAAAAATTATACATTCTGATAGTTAATATTTTGTAGCTTTAATAGAAGCTTGTTATTCGTCAGAATAATTATGAAAAATATTATTTAAAAAATATTATAATATTATTTAAAATTATAAATTAAATATTATTTAAAAGATATAAAAATATTATTTAAAAAGAGTATTTCCAAGTATTCCCCATTACTCTTGCAGTTACGTGCATTATATCTCTGCTATATTTTTTAAATTACTACTTTAAATTACAAAACGTTGCGGAAACGACTTCGAAAAAAGAATAAATAGTATAATAATAGAAAAAAGAATAAACCGTTTCATTCTCTATGCAAGTTGCACAAACTTCTTGGTACGCGCAGGATGAAAAAACGAATCCTTACGCTGCGACGTGCATTCACGAGAACACTCGCGTGACAAAGTTGAACGAAGCTGGCGGAATGATGCTGGTGGAAACGTTCAACGTTATCCCCGCAGTCGTCGATGACCCATACGTGATGGGCAAGATCGCTTACGCCGTCACCCATGGAGGTATTCACTCGCTGGGTCTCGCCAGATGCTCCAGCAGTAGGATGATCCTGGGCGTTTCCGACATTATGAAGGACGACGAGAGGAAGACGGTGGCGTCCATGGCCATACGCGGTTACGCAGACGCGGCAAAGATGGACATCAAGGATTGTCAGGTCTTCCACAACCCGTGGTGCCTGTTCGGAGGAACCGCCACGGTGGTGTGCCACCCTTACGAGATAGTCCAGCCCGTGGACGCAACCGTTGGTGACGTCATAGTGCTCACCAAGCCACTGGGCACGACGGTGGCACTTACCATATCCGAGTGGATGAAGCAGCCTGAAAAGAGGGGTAGATTAATGTTGACCATCACCGAAGAGAGCGCCGAGAAAGCTCGCTCCCGAGCCATCGACTGTATGATCAGGACTAATCAAATCGCCGCTATGCTCATGCGAAAGGTTTGCCATTTCAAAATTTACTCGGATATTCTTCTCTGATGCGATATATGACATACATTCTAAAGGACTCTCGTTAAATTAATAGACAAAGGATATTAATACCAAAACTCTTCTTTAGAAGTAATAGATTAATCGTTAATAGATTGATAGACTCTTCGATTTTAGGAGAAATCGTGGAAGTGTCATTTAACTACAAATTGACCATTTACTATTAATCAGAGTTTAATATCTTATCGAGCATGTGTCACGCGATTAGTGTTTCATTCATAATTTTGCTTGAAGGCAAACGTCAACAGGTACAACTCATTAATCAATCCTTGAATGTCAGTATAACGCGCACGCCGCCTGCGAGGTAGGATCCTACGGTATCCTGGGTCATGCGAATCTCCTGGCGCGACGACAGACGAGCGACGTCAATTTTATAATCCACAACATGCCGGTGATCGCGCGGATGAACGCGACGTCGAAGATGACCGGGAACGCGTTGCCTCTCCTGCAGGGTGAGATGCCCGAGGTGTCGGGAGGGCTGCTGGTCGTGTTACCCCGGGAACAAGCCGCCGCGTATTGCAAGGCCCTGGAGAAGCTGGAGCGCAGACAAGCGTGGATCGTCGGGATCGTCGAGAGCGGCGATCGCACCGCGCGAGTGATCGAGAGACCGCGGGTGATCGAGGTGCCTGCTAAGGATAACGGTGTCTTCTTATGGTAAACCGCCGAAGGATCGTGAGATATCGCTCGTTAAAAAGAAAACATCTCGGTCGCCGAGATACAATTTTACGCTCTACTCTTTGTGGAATAGAGATATTTTTCCTGAATTATGGGGAATAGATCGAGTTTAATACAGTAATAGAGTAGCTCTACTTAAGGCAGATTATGATAGATGCATTTCACAAGTTGAGTAGATTTAATAAAGTTACGTTGACATATTTATATAAGATATATCTCTTACACTTTTAATGTATCTGGAGTATAATAACGGGTTAGAGGATATTTATAAGACAGATTACTACAAAATGCATTTTCACACACTGACAAATTGATCTAATAAAGTTACGTTGGCATGTTTATATAAGATTGTCTTGCACTTTTAATATAATAATGGGTTGGAGGATATTTAATAGAATTTCATTTCTCGAGACATGAGGAAGTGAGAAGTAATCTCCATATTTATTCGCGACAACAAAAATATAATTAACGCTAAGTAAGGCTTCGCAAACTTGTCGGAGATTGAATTTATCGAAATTGCAAGAATCTGAATCCTGCTATATACACTTTACAGTTATTTTCATCTCGCGAGTGCGTTAAATCGCGATGAAATGCGACCGTTCGTATCACGTGCGTCTAATAGAGACATGTAATTAACAATAATTTGCGGTTAACGAAGCATTAACATCTTCTTATGCATCGTCCTTCCGGTTCGCGGGTCATGTGAAATCCGTGAACTCGTCTCGTATATTTAAGCGCGTCTATCTTTTTATCTCTTCCCACAATTACTACTTTACATGGCACTTTGCACGCGTATTATATAGCGCGAGTTCCTTGACGCCTGCCGCTCTTGATTACAATGTTATCATTTTACGCTCGATAATTTTACATCGATTTATCTTATTTTTCCGCTCTAGGATGCCTATCTCTTTAAAATAACTTTATCTCATTTTTCTTGATTAATCACATCTTTCACCAATATAAATGATAGAGATTAAATTGATTTAATTTTATCGATTCCTTAAATTATAACTTAATAATACTGAACAAACTCTCTCTCTCTCTTTCTTTCTTTCTCTTCCTCTGTTTCTTTTTTTCTACTTTTTGATTATATAAAAATAGCAGTTTGCAAACAAATTTATTTGTTTTTTTCGATAAACTGAAAGAATTTGACTACAATGTTATCATTTTACACTCGATAATTTTACATCGATTTATTTATCTTATTTTTCCGCTAGGATATCTATCTCTTTAAAATAACTTTATCTCATTTTTTTTCATTAATCGCATCTTTCACCAATATAAAATTTTAATAGAGATTAAATTGATTTATTTGTATCGATTCTTAAAATCATAACTTAATAGTACTGAACAAACTCTCTCTCTTTTTCTCTCTTTCTTTCTACTTTTTGATTACATAAAAATAGCAGTTTGCAAACGAATTTTTTTTTTTTTTTTTTTTCGATAAAAATAATCTGAAAGAGTTATTTTTGACGACAAAGTTAATAAATCCGAGAAACACAATATTCGTGTGCCATTTCTCATCTCTCTGAGATATAGACGGGAACTTGTTTTTTTTTTTTTTTTTTCATCTTTTCGTCGGCGGAACCAGAACGTGCGACCTCGCGTTAACCTCGAATTGTCAGCAGTCGTATTTTTTTTTTCCTTTTTTAAAACTGGCGATGAAGTATAACGTCGCGCACGAAATATTCGACACGCTCGAGAAATCGATCGGATCTGCGCGACTTGCGGGCGAAAAGACCGAGTCGAGACTGTGAAAATTTGATTTTCATGGTGTATTATCCCGCTGATGGGCGAGGAAGATGATGTCGAAGAGGAGGAGGAGCGTTTCTCTTCGCGCTACTTCCAGCACCCCGTTTCGTTTATTCCGCGTCCTCCGCAACAGGATGCAATTTTGCAAAAATATAGCGCACGATATCGCGCATAATAGCAGCATTATCGATCTCCAACAGCCACAAGATATAATGTTGTATAATGTTGCGCTAACATGTAACACGATCCCGTTTCCCGAGATGCGATTTGATATTCACCCGTGAAATATTCGCAACGGCTGTCAAAATATAATGCAATATTGCAGAAGCTAGCGAAGAGAATTCGGACTATCGGCTACTTTTACATGGCCATCTTGATTTTTATTATATCGTTCGCGTCAATATACCGTGAGTCTGTTAAGTCTGTTCGCTTATTCGTGGAAAGGTCAAAATATCAATGTCGCTTTCAAATGCAGATTCCCTTTAATATCACCGGTCATGATGGCTTCGTTTTCCCTTTCGTTGCGTCATTCGGGCTCAAACCACAGAAAGAGATGATAATATCGCATTAATATGATGTTCACTCAATTTCCAATGCAGGCTTAGTTGCCAAACATTTTCCACGTTTTAATCTCAATTATATTTATATCAGATAACTTACATATATCATATACATAATATATTAATTATATATATATATATATTTTTTTTTTATTATCATTATATTATTTTTATTATGTAATTATATAATACAATAAAATATATATAATATATATTTTAAAATCACAGGCGCGTGTGTTCCATAAAATCAAAAATCGAAAATAGCAATGAATATTCGCACTGATTCCGCAAATTGTACATTTTCTTAAAATATCTATATCTTTTCTTATATATTATTATATATATTTTTAATCACATTTATATTATTATATATATTTTTATATATTATATATATTTTAAAATCACAGACGCGTGCGTTCCATAAAATAGTTGCATTAAATTAAAAAGAAATAGCAATTAATGCTCGCCCTGATTCCGCGAATTTTCTTAAAATATTTTTAGAATACTAAATAATTAAAAGAAATTAAAAAAAGAATTGTATACACGCACGTGCATACGCTTTCACGCGCCTAAAGGCCTACGTGCATACTTTAGATTAATTAAAGCTCGAAGCGCGCCGCGCGCCAAGGTCGAGGGGTGCAAACCTTCGAGGGTTCGGATTTTTTTTCTCTATAGTTGGCGGGGTTGCGCGCGCGCGTCCCCCGTCGTTCCCATTCCGCGTTCCGCGTCTCGTTCCACCTTTCGTCCCGTTCCACCCGTCCGGCCGCTCCTATTCCGTCCGCGGCGGCACGGACGCTTTAACATGGCGCATTGATCCTGGTCGCGTGACGTTTCCGCTCGTCGTTCCGCGATCTCGGCGCGAATCGCCGCGAATCTCGCTCGCTCCCGGCCAGATTGGCTCTCTTTCTTCACCTAGGACTCCGCGAATCTGTGCGGAACGCAAGACGAAATCCGTGATTCGCGATGCACTCGCGTCTCGCCGACGTCGCCGAGTCACGCATGCTGAGGTGAAGTCTATCGTAACGTGACGTCACGCTCGTCCGCTGCCGGCTTCGCCTCTATCCGGCGGAATAACGCGTTGAATGGTAAATATATTACTACACAAGGCTGCACGTACTACCTACATCGCCGGCACAAACGTCCATTAATCGTTCCGCGACAGCTCGATCACGATTGGCTGCGTCGAGGGCGAGAAATAACGTCGCGACCCCGACTAGACGTTTGATATCGTGCCTCTTTCTCTCTCTCTCCCTTTCTTACATCACTCCGTTTCTTTCTCTCTCCTTCTCTGTCTTTAGTTAGCGTCGCGACCGCGTGATTATTACGATGCATTTTGCGTCGTTTAACACTTTTTGCTCGATACCTTTTCTTGGCGAAAATTTATGAGGACAGAAACAATTTAGCGAAAAATATGCTTCTGCATATTTTCTCATGAATTACACATTTTCATTCACATTACATTTGCACGTATTTTTAATCATTCATAGATATTAGTAATTAAAATAAATGTGAATGAGTTTTATTCATATTAATTTATTTTTTTATTCAATGTTATTTCGAAATTTATTGTTTTATATTTTTGCGATATTATAAAGAGTGAAAATTGTAAATTAATGTATATGACTCAGTTTTACGCGTAGTCCAACAGTTTATGCAAAACATCCAAAATTTCAATAATGTAACTCTCGGGTTTACGTAACATTCCGATAAGACGGATTCAAATTAACGTCTTATGAGTGTGTTAAACGTTTGTTTCACTTTTTGCGCACGATATTCAAGGTCGCTGATAGCATAATATCGAGTTCAATCATATGGTATATGAAGCATTTTAATTATCGATCTTATTTATGTTTGAATTTATTGGAAAATAATATTCGCACATTTACAAACAAAGTTGCTTTGCCAAGTAAAATAAAATAAAATAATGAAAACCATTGCCCGTGTGAAAAAATAAAAAGAACATAAAAGTCTCTTTAACACAACTTGCAATATTTAATGTGTTGCTGTTTCAACTATTTTAATTTTAATATTTTTTTAGCTAATTCCTATAAACTAATATATTATTTTTATGCAAAAGATAGAAATACATTTTTATTTTTATTTTTTTTCCATGTAAAAAGTGTTTCGGTGTCTTACTGTGAAACAAGCGCAAATACGGTAAATAGTTGCACACGAAAATTACACATCACTGTCTTGAGCATGGCAAGCCACAGAAATGGGACATAAAACACAATGAATGGCATTGATAACAGAAACGCAGGTTTCGTAATTCAATTATTTTACAATAGGTACCTTGCATTCGTGTCGTACAAGCAGGAAACTCAAAATGATACTCATTATACGATAATCACCGAGAATTCTAGGATTGTGGGTCTTTAATTTTTTTTAAATCTTAAAAGCGTACGTGCGATAGAATATATCGAGAAAAATTACAATAATATTATAAAAATTATAATGTATAATGTTTTTGAAAATTAAAAAACATAAGATGAGACAAAATTAATAAATTCTTAAAAATATATATCAAACATGTTACATGATATATGATGTATCAAGAGAAACATATTTCATACAAAATTACTTCTGTTGATTCTATTATATAATACTACTTGTTCGCATTTTTTAAGTTCCGCAAGGTTTTGTAGATTCTCTTATCTGCAGATTCTTATGCAAGCGCGGTAA